TCTCTCTCTCTTTCTCTCTCTCTCTCTTTGTTTTTTTTTTGTTTTTTTTGTCTCTCTCTTTCTCTCTCTCTGTTCTATTTCTTTCGACTTTCCGTCTTTGAGAACTATTTTTGCAATTGCATGAAAATATTGTTCATGGATAAAAATAAAGGTTGCTTTAGTCATTTGTTCATATGTTATCTCATGTTGTGTGCGTTCATTGTTATAAACATCGTTTTGCTATTCTTTAGAGACTGACATTTTTTTTTTAATTAATTTTTGGCGTTGTTCTGTTTTCTGTGTTCGCTTTTATACTGTTCTACTTATTCCTGAAAAAAAAATCAGATGAGTATCCTTTAAAGTGTGAACATCGGATAATATTAAAGACCGATTAAAATCGAAAACAAGATTGAAAAAAAAAACAATGTACGAAGAAAGATTATAAACTTGATGAATAATTATGACAACAAAAAGTTAATCATAACAGAAAATGAAACAATAAGTTTGGGTCCTCTTCCTGTAGACGGTCTCGAAGGAAGACAAATGATGCTTATGAATAAACAAAATACGTATGAGTGTGATACGTGGGGCGCTGAAAATACTAAAGCACATGGGCCACCTTCAAGTAAACGGTGTCGAAGGAGAGCAAAGGTCGTCTTCCAGTAAACGGTATCGAAGGAAAGCAAAGGATGCTCAAGAATAATCAAGGTACGTATGATTGGTCTATATGGGCTGCTGAAAATACTCAGGCACTTATGTGAACCAAATTAACTGTTATTGGGAGGGTTGGGTCACACCATGTATTTCGAATGAATATTGGAGAAGGAACCGATCCGATAAGAAGGAATAAAGATGACAATAAACGTAGCCTTTTTCCCAAGACACCCATGTTATCCCAAATGACCTCCTCTCATCTAAACATATTCCAAAAGGTCTTATTCTCTACCCTCTTTGCTCCTATTTCATCAAAGTGACCAAAGCAAAATAGGAGAAGAAAGGTGAGGTCATCAACGGTTTGCCCAACCTCAATTGCTAGGAATGACTCTTCCTGGATCCACGACCTTCGAGGTTGGTTGGGGGGAGGTGCGGTACGCCGCATAGATCCATTTATGGGGGTGGTGTAATGTTGTTATGGTGGAGCCAACGCCTACTTCTGAGATCCAGGCCTCGTGCCTGGGCGAGGAGGACGGGTGCCACAGACTACATCCTAGCGGTTGGGACTTAGGCAGGTTGGGGAAAACTTTTACCCTTCTTCAATTTTTTTGTGAACGGTGACTGACTGAGAATACCCAAGCCTGGCCGCAAGTAGGAGCCGCCTCTACCGAATGCGATTGGAGTCAAAAGAAACTTCATTCCCAATCACAAACTTATACGAACAGGAAAGTGAGCCCTGCCGAGGAACGACAAAGGGTAAACGTGGATAAATGAGGTACGTATGACTTGATCTCATGGGACCTTGAAAAGACTAAGGGGCATATAGGAAAAAAACAAACATATGAAAAAGAAATTATCATTTTTTTTACAAACACTTAAAAAAAAAATAGAACGTACGAATAAAAGAAAAAAAATACATTTCGTCATCCGTTGATTAACCTTCATTTCCCTTGACATAAATATTTAAAAAAATAAAATAAAAATAAAGAACGTGAACTCAACGTTTTTCTCTGTTTGTTTTTCGTTTTGTGTTTCGCCAACTCCGATTATCCTTTGAATATACTTTTATCTTTTTTAAATGATTTAACCTATATTTTTTTTCTTACTATCATAATTACATCTGTATACAAACATTCTGGGATATCTATCATCCTACTGATTTTTATCTCTTTCATATTCCTCATATCCTTTGATTTTTACGTTATAATTTTACGTTATAGCCGCCTAAGAAGAGACGCATGTACGCCCGTTCAGATGACGGGGGATGAAAGCATAGATAAGGATTCACGTGACATTGATTTATCTGCCGCTCCGAACTCTGCTTCGTCTGCCGACAAGTCCTCACGCGTTCCATGGAAGCGTCGAAGATGCCTTCGTTGTTGTGAAAGACCTGTTATCGCTCCTTTGTTGTCTTCTCCAACGATACGGAAGTGTGCTAACTCTCCTGCCATTGATTCCGCTCAAGTTCATTTCCCTTCGCTACAGAATCCCTCTTTTTCGTCGAATGATGGATTGGGATTGTGTGTACGTTCGGATATTACTCGCTGTCCCTTTACAACTGAAACACGGGTGTCATCAAAAGATGAACACCACAAACGTGGTCGACCGCCTTCCCAGAGTCGTCGGACTCGAAGGTCTTTACTACAACCGCTATGTGCTATGGGTGATGTGACTACTTATGGAAGGGAAAAACAACCGATGATAACTCCCGATCGCGGCCTTGATTGTTCTGTGGAAGAACAATGTAGTGATAAATTTTTATCTTTCCAACAACCGATTCCATTGTTGGATGGTATCGCAAACCCTCAGTTTTTTGCCCGCAGGAGTCAAGAAAATGTTGATATTGGTACGAGTCAGATTAGTTGCAAAGGAAACCTGCCTATCACCTTGCGAAGTGCACGACCTGATGAAAATTTTAGGCATGATGCAGTCCATACCAGGGCTGGGCCGGCGACCGGCTGGTCGGGCTGACCCGGTCCAA